CATAGTCATCTTCATCTTCAACTGCAAGTGGAACAGGTTCTGATGTGTCAAGTCCAGGAACAGCAACATCATGCCATTCATCATGGTCACGTCTCACCTTCGATTGATTAACACGCATGACTGCGTTGTCAACATGAACATTGACCATAGCACCTTCTTGAGAGATAACAGTACCTCTGATCCATCTTTCCTTCTTCCATGCCTTTGAAGCAATAGCATTAGCATTGACAGGGGAACTCCAAACGAAAACCTTGTCACCTGGTTTGTAAGGTCCATCTGATGGCATTGTTCGTTTGGCCATGTCATGTCTGAGGTCAGCAGCTTGTCTGGCTTCCTGATGTGCCCTCAGTGCTAACCTTTGCAACTCGAGTTGTGTTCTGTCTTCAGGTAAAGGGTCAACACTAAGTTGAGCAGGATCAGAAGTCTCAATATCCAGAAGATCTGGTGGTCTTCTACCAGTGGCAATTTCCAAAGGAGAATAACCACTAACAGTGAGTTGAGTGTTTCTGGCCCAAACAGTACGCTTCACAGCTTCTCTGATGGTGATTCCTTTGAACCTATCATCTTCAAGGTTCTTGGACATGATTTGCCATTGTCGTTTGAAAAGTCTGACAGCTGATTCAGCTCTGTTAGGCCATGGGGTTCTTGAACCACAGGGACATTCCTTGATACCATGAGTTCGGTAATAAGTCAGAAAGTCTTCTTGAAAGAAAGCTTCATCACCTACAATGGCTTTAGGCATACAATTGTGTTCATCACTCCACAACCTTAGAGCCTGAATGGTCTCCTTGTTGTTCAGTGAGTTTTGTGCCGTAGCCCAAAGTAAGTTGGTTGCACCATCAAGAACAAGCAACACCATGTACTTGTTCTTCCTCAACTGAATTTCAGCATGATCAACAAAGATAACATCTCCAAAGTTGGTGGATCGTATGCCTGAAATTCTGGCTCGCGGCGGTGGTGCAATGGAAGTACTACACACACGACACTTGTTGTACATCTCCTCATACTTCTGATAGACAGAGTCAGGAAGTCCTAACATGGAAGTCCTTCGTCTGAATTGAGTAGGAGACATGTGATAGTGTTTGATATGAAGCTTGTAAAGTTCCACACTATCCTCCAGTTTCCTGAGCATCTTTCTGTATGCTGGTGTCATGGCTTGCACTTCACTACCAGGCAGTGGAATCGAAACTCGCCTAGGCTCAAGAGCATCACTACCTAGTTTCTCAACTTGACTTTCTGAATCTTGCTTACCACGGTTGCGCGCAGGTGCAGAATGTTTTGGTTCAATGACTTGAGGTTCATCTGAATCAATTTTGTCCAAACCTAACTCCCTAGCTACCTTATCAAGCTCATCTTCTTCATCAAGCTTGGGATAGGAGACAACAACCTTCTTTCTTGATGAACCTGATTGAGAGTCATCGACAACCTGAGGTTTCTGCTTACCTACGTGTCTTTTGGCTGCAGGTGGACCTACCTCAATCTTTTTTCGAGCCTGGTCCATTTGAAATCGGTTTGCCTTCCTCCTTCTTTAAGGAGCTTGGCTTCTTCTTCTGTACACCTGATGGCACTGAAGAGGCTGACTCAGGGTGAAAAAGATCATCAATGTTTCCACGAAAGGGCCTTGCACGATCAATGTCACTTCTGACAATGTCATCTGGGATCACGTAGTCCTCCTTGATCTTGTAGATGGTCTTGCCCTTCCAGAACTCTTCACTCTGTTCAGAAAACCTCTTCTTCTCAGTGCGCCAGTTGTCCTTGTGAAGAACCTTCTTCTTGCTCTTCTGGAATTCCATGTGAGTTTCTCTCTCATCAAGAAGTTGATCTTTTGGAATTGGAGTTTTCTCTGATCGAGTCATCTCATGTAAGTTCATTCTCTTGTCCTTGTGGTGCCTGATGAGTTCACGACGTAGTGGATCAACCTGCCAGTAGTCACCAGTCACCAAAGCTTCTCCTTCATGATCATCTTGTTTGACAGCAATCTGGCTGTACTCAAAGTGATCGTGTTGTGAATAGAAACTTTTGACTTGTGGAGTCTTGAAATGAACTTGGCTCATGTACCATGCTACATCTTGTAGGTCGAGAATGAGATGAGTACTAATGGCTGTCCTCAAAACCATTTTTCTCATGCCAATACGTGCACAGGACAAATAAGCCTTCTCTGGAGTAAGTTCAAATTGAAATCCAAGGTTTCTCATCTGTGGAAGTGACATCAACAGTGGGACATCACCTTCTTCGACAATGTCGAATTCTGTAAACTGAGTGTTCCATCCATGATCATACATGAATATCACGAGCTTCTCAGTACATTTTGATTGTTGTGAGTTTGCAAAGAAGAATCTTGAACTTGTTGGCTGAATTTCATACCAGAGTCCACTGTTGGGATGTGAGTCAACATATCTGCAAAATGCTTCAACTGCTCGTCGAGAGCCCATAGCTCTTGTGCATCCAAGATCCAGAATACACACAGTTGGTGGTGCAGAATTCTCTGTGTGAAAAGCTAGTCCATTCTCACATGCCAGATCAGTTTGTACAGTATGAAATGAAAAAGCACTCTGCTGTGATGGTTCCTCTATCTCTGTAGAGCATCCATGTGAAAACAATGATGTGCCTTCTGCCAATGGCTTCCATGAAGCCTCACCTTCTTGAAGACCAACTTGCCTGGGCACTACCGCTGGACGTTGTTGTACACCTTGTCGTAGTGCCCCAACTTCTCCAACCAGAACAGGGAATCTCTTCATTTCTCTCCTGTTTTGATGTGCTCTTGCATCACGTTGGTTCTGTCCTCCACGACGAGTACGTCGTTGTTCATCTTGTGCTGCATACGTGGATGTCAAAACATCAACACGTGCTGGCTCTGTCTCTGCAACATCAACACGTGCTGGTTCAGTTGTTCCAAATGAAAAGAAACCATGACCAGAACTTGAAGCTGCAGAAGAATAATGAGCTTGTTGAGTTGGTTGATTCTGTATGGCAGGAGCTGATGTGGTCTGAGGTTGAACATAGTTCGACTTGCCTTTTCCATCTCCTGGCTTTCCTCCTTTTCCATCATCATCCTTGCCTTTCTTGCCTTTCTTTCCTTTTCCTTTTCCTTTTCCTTTCTTCTGGAAGTATCCATACTCATCCATGTAGTACAGATCATCATAGGCCCAATAGCCTTCATTCCAGGTTTGATCATCGGCCCAATAGCCGTCATAGTTTTCATTCCATTCATCTTCTTGCCATTCATCTTCATAACCTTCTTCACTCACCATGTGAGCACGGCCTTTTCTTCTTCCTTTTCCTCGGCCTTTTCCTTTTCTTGATCTGAAGAACCTTCGTCCTCCTCTGCCTTTTCCTTTTCCTTTTCTCTTTCCTTTACCTTTGCCTCGTCTGATGTATTTGCCTTGGAACCTTCTCTGATACCATGTGAAGTTGGCGTCATCATAAACCCAGAAAACATCTTCTAAAGCATCCAGGAATCCTTCTGCGCCGTCTTCTTCATCTTCGGCCCAATAGCCGTCGGTTCCTTCTAATTCACCTTCATCCAGTACGAGGAAAGATCTTCTCTGTGCCATGCCAGAGGGTTGCATCAATGGATTGTCAACTGCTGTTTTGGTAGTGCAAAACATTTCCAAAAACAGGTCACGTAGTTCTTGAATGTTGTATCGATCGAGGGTTCGTCCACGATGTGTCATGATACTTGTGAGTGTGTTTCTCTGATCTTGACTCAGGTCAGCTAGACTTACAAAAATCAATGCTAGCAAATTTTCACCCAGTGGGAATGCTTGTCGCTGTGCTTCTCTACGATTTTCCTGAAATTGTCTGAATGCCGCTAGTGCCAGTTCATCTGTCCAAGGAACAGCTACATGGGGTGTTCCTGAGGCTGCTGCTACTTCAGCTCTCTCTTGTTGATCTCGTTCATGTTCTTGACGTCGTTGTTGAACAAACAGGATTGATTCAGGACTAGTCACTGTTACTTCTGGAAGTAAATCCATCCAAGACTCAATAAGTCTATTGCCAGTGAGTTGAAATCTAGTCATCCACTTCTGAAGATCCATTGTTCCTCTGTTGAACTTCATGAACTGCATGAAACGGTATAAGAACACGTTCTGGGCACCTTTGATGAAATGAGGTCGTAGAAATCTTTTGAAATAGTGCACTCCTTCATGGGGATCCCTGAGTAGTTCTCTATCCAATAGCCTCTTGTATTGTTGAGCATCTCCTTCCAGTCTGTTGCGCAATGCTGGACCACGTTTCTCTGGTTCTAACTCCGTAATGTCACACCAGTCATCAATTGCATCCTCAAAAGCAAAGAAGCTGGTTCGCCCATCATAGGCTGGAGCAACCTTTGTAGTCATCTGTTGCGTCATATGAATCTGTGTATGCTGGGGTGCTCTTCTCATTGCATAAGAGTCATATTGGTTCCATTCATTTGCATCGACAATGTCGAAGTCATCATCATCATAGCCATGGCTTGCCATTTCTTGGGCTCTACCTGGAGCTCACCCTCAATGAGGGATCACAGCTCCGCTACCACTTGAAGAGGGGCCCTAGCGTCTACTTCAAGATCAGCTAAGGCGTCTTCCCCAATGACAGCACTTGTTTTACTCAGCCTATTGCCGGTCCGTGCTTGTCTACAGGGTTACTCTATATACCTCTTTCTTGAGCCTTGAAGGCGCATATAAATGTGCTCAATACTCATGCATGTACCTATGTAGGTATTAGGTCGAAACAAAAACAGGGGGCCCCCCCCCCCCTTGAAAGGCGGACCGAGACATAACCGGCCCAAACTCTTGCACTTGCACCGCTCGCCCCCTAATACTTGCTACGCAAGGGGGAACTCAGGTAGCTCACCGCTACCTTTCGAGATATTGTCATCATCAACGAAAACCTCAAAATCTAAAAGTCCCCATATTATTGCAGGGAATAGTGGTGACTAGTGACTAAGACAGTATCTCCGGCCAATTTCGTGGCAAAAGTACACAACTTGAAGGAAACATACCCGCAAACTGAGGCTGAGACCTCAATTCCATCGAATGGGTCCAGTCCTCTACCCTGCAAAAAGTGTTGCATTGCGCAACTGCGCAACTCAGCGTCTTGGCACATGAACGGACTTCCTCAAGCCATTCGAGTCATTCGAGTCATTCGAGTCATTCGAGCCGCTCCGAGCCTTCAAGAGAGACAACTTCCACTGAAATCCTGGAGATTCGAAGCCTGTCAAGTCATCAAATCACAGCAGTTTTGCAAACGATTCTCCGTTGGAAGCACAGCGGCAGACGGTGGACAGGGCAGCACGTTGGGCATGTGTGGCTTGACCTCCAAAATTTTCCATGCGTTTCTTGTCATGACATGCAGTGACAGCACCTGAGAGAAGCTCCTGTAGCAGTTGCATGATGTCTTCCTGAGGCCCAAATTAAGAGGTGCCAAATCGGTTTTCAGCTAGGGGCATCCTGCAACTCTCGCAATTCAGAATGTTTCTGGGTGAAATCAACACAGCCGTTGAGCCTTGCTGATGATATCTTCATCACCAGAACCTTTTAAAGCCACGGCAACGGCAACTGTCGTGTGCTCAACTCACATGGTGATATGTAGTGATACAGTAATGACTGAACAAATACAGCCCTAGTTTCCCTTGTCAAATCTGCGCAGAGTTTGCTGCAAGCAGTAGTAAAAGTGATGGGTACATAAAAAGATGTACCCTCTGGTTATTTAACATAGCCATGGAAAATCACCATTTCTAATAGGTAAACCATCTATAAATGGGCCATTTTCCATGGCTATGTAACAAATAACCAGATGGTATAAATTTGCTACTCGCCAATTGCAGACAAGCCTGAGCCATTCTCCGAATCCACGGTGCTACCAGTGTCCTGCGAGTGCGGTGTCCACTTTTGCGGAAAAAACCCTACGTCATTCAAGGCAGATCCATGGGCAGAGTTCCTAGCATTTCTGTCCTGGCGCTGAAAGCCCTTCTGCAGATCCCCCTGCAAATGCAACGGATTGAGGGGAAGCAGCGCTGACGCTGGAATTGAATTTCCGTTGTGCCTCCGTAGTCCTTAAGCTTCGCATCTCATCATCCCACTCCCACTCCTTCAGAGCCTAGCCAGGTGAGTTTTTGGAAAGTGGAAGACAGGGGGAAAAATGGGACAAAAAAACAAGATGCTTTCAGCAATTCAATTCGGTCAAAAAGGGTGAGAACCTCTGTCATCATCTGCAAACCGCTACTGTCAGCAGGGAAGCCATACCTCTGACGCTGTCTTGTGCATTTCTATCTGACGTCTGCATGCACAGATTTGCCACAAGTGCAATGGGCACTGCGGCAACAAGCTCATCTTGACATCATTGATATACCTTGGGTTGCACTAAGTCTGCTTCATGTCGTAAACTATTCTGGCGGTTGAGTGCCATGCTGTTCACGCTGGTCCAGATCGTCCTCTGTCCTGACACAACAGCCGGGCTCATCAAAAACGTCAACTGCAAATGGATGCGTTCGGAATTTTGAAGATTTTGATTTGCTTTTGATTATCATCTTTCCCTGTCGTTGCGTATCCATTTTTGGTATGCAATCCAAGCAAAACTCTTCCCCAGCATGAGCAGAGATGTCCTCATTGTGGACAATTTCATCTGGACATCCGGGTTCCGGAACTGAAACAGGAGATCCTCAAAATACATCAAAATACAGCAGGTTCCCATCAAGCTCTTCAACTCTTCGGAAAAATCGCATTAACATCGAGATTCCCGGCATTCTGCAGAGCCAAGGCCTGGAGAGGAGGTAAACATCTGAAACTCCAAGACATCTGAAGACTCCAAGACTGGGAATCTGTAAGCGGACGAAGCCTTCTCCCGTGTCAGGTGTCTTGCATTGACCTGCGCAGCGTTCGTTTATTGATCAGCTCTTACTGTAATACTTCTCACCAACCCGAAAGTCCCTCGCCTCATCGGCGCATTCATCCACCTGGCAACGGCAATCCAAGGCCTAAAGAAACCAGACAAGGCAGCAAGGGCCTGGGGTCATGCAACCTTTACTTCAAGGTAGACTGAACACGACATGAAGTTAGAGGCTTTATGGGCTGCGTTCCCGCTGCACCTGCACTTCTATCCGCAACTTTTGCCGGATGGCCTCAATAAGTGTTGCGACAGGTCAAGAAAAATATGATATCGAGTATTGTGGCATTGTGGTAAACCCAATCATGGCCCCTTCTGTGGCACGGTTTTCATTACCCCTGCAATGGTAAAATGGCAGAGATCTAAACAGGGTATGGTTCATTATTGGATTAACATGGATTAACGCTCTTATTCAGTCGGGTGACCGACTGATTACAAACCGTTTGATCCCGGATTGATCTTTTCTGCGTCTGATGCGCACCTCAGACTGTTCGACGAGGCGGCTGTCTTTGGCAAGCAAGGGTTGGATGGCCTGAAATCCATGGCAACGTTGGAAAGCTACCCTTTGGTAATTTAACATAGCTATGGAAAATCAGCATGATTAATGGGAAAATCCACTATAAATGGTCATTTTCAATAGCTATGTTAAATTACCAGAGGGTAATGCATGGTGACACATGGTGTGTCAACTCGCAAGAGTTGCAAAGCTAGAGGTGGCAAACAGCATCGATTGAGGAGGGCCCCACGCCTCCAGCATTTGAGCTACGCCATATTCGCTACCATCGAAGCCATATCGAGGCAGCACCTGGATAGGTGTAACAGGTGCCTTGGGCACCCGTCATATCCCAACAGCAGGATACACATATATTTTTGAGTTATACTGCCATACAAACCACAAACATATCAAGATGACATGTAATGACTTGTTGATCAAACCCAAAATACAACTGCAAATATGTAGCTCGATAATTCAATATGATATTAATATGATGCACCAAAAACGAGACGGTGTTGAAGAAGTTGAACAAGTATTAACGAATAGGGTTGTTTTGCTGTTGCAAACGAAATACATACGTGTCATTCTTGCAACATCCCTTATGGCCTCACGCTGTACAGATAGAGCCAATTCAGTTCGTCCTGGTACGTAGAGCAGGTCCTTTGCAGCCTCAATTTGAACAGGATTTGGCTTAACAACAGACATTGAGCCTGGTTACACCTCAACCAATACAGTAATTACACAACAACACGCGCACGTTACAAGCTGAAAACACCGCGACGAAAAGGCCACCACCCGATTCTGTCCAGCTTGTGCACTGAAAAGGACATCTAGTTTGCGCTGGAAGCCTGTGTGCCAGATGCGAGACCGCGCATTCGCAACTCTTGCTTTCATCGACTCATTCAGTTCGTCAGATTGAATGCACTACGTTCACTCAGGCAAGCACTCTTAGAGCTGAAGCCAGCCAGAAGGTCCGTCAACATGGCCTGCAACAATTTGGAATCCAAAATATTAAACAACAACAACAACAACAACAACACAACAAGGAGACAACGACAACGACGACGACAACGACGACGACGACAACGCCCCAACAACGCACCAACAACGCCCCAACAACGCCCCAACAACGCCCCAACAGCGCCCCAACAGCTGAATGGTGTCAGGCTGAGGTCGGCGCTCGGGCACGAGCTGGTGTCAGTTTCGGTTCCTCATCACACCACGGAGCGATCCGGCGATCAAAAGAACGACCAAAACAGCGACCAAGAAACTTCACCCAAGGATCTGGCCATGGACAGTGACATGGCCGCGGCCAACGATGCCAACGGGTATTCTGATAATCTCAACAAAACAAATTTCACGAAAATTTAACACATAGATAAATTGAATCGCATGTTGAATATTGCATAAAGTAATTATAAACTGACCATTTTGGCACAATTCATTGGTTGTGACTGTTTTTGATGAACAATTGGAATTGAGTCATGTTGCTGTGCCCAGCCATAATCGCGGGGGAAGAAAAACATCAAACAAACCATGCAGAATAACCTGTCCCAGGAATCATGTGTCATGAGTCACGCTACTCTATAGTCTCTGCAATCCATATGTTCCAATCTAATGCATGGAGCACACCTCAGTGAAAATCCTGTACCGGTGATAACGCAGTTGGTGGCATGATGGGATGAGTTCTAGCATATTTGGGAGTTCGTTCTGGTTGAAATGTGCGTTTCACATCAAAAAATGTTTTTCAAAGATCGAACATAAACCATTGACGGGACATTTCATAGCAAAATGGTACTTTTGTTTTTTGGGTTCATGCCAGCTCAAATCACACATCGAATTCGCAAAATAAAATTTGCACCAGAAATAACTGCCAAACAAGCACAAACACATGCAACTCATACAACCTTACAAACCCGTCAGAAATACCCCCCCTTTTTGGATGGGAATAAAGAGCCGAGGTTTCTTTGAAACGCAGACCAAAAAAACTATGGAACTGACGAACCCTTAATGCACATCATCAGCTGGAGTAAAACCATGTTTGAGACCACTTGCACGCAGTAACAACGCAAATTCATTTTTCAAACGTGGGATTCATAGTGCTGGCTAGTTTTTAAGACTATACGAGATTGGCCATGTGAATGTTCCAAAAGAAATTTTCGCGCAATTCAAATCACCCAAGCGTCTGATGCAGACAATCAATATCGACTAGTGTTGTGAACGTATTTGGCAAGAGTAGGACCGACATCGATCAGCCCAATGTTTTGGCCATGAAAGGACACACATGCCGAAGTATCCATCTAAATATGAATTCCTCCACACAAGCGGTATCAATACCATGGTGCAAAGGTTCAGCGTGAAATGCAAGCACTACCGCTTCTGTTTCGAACCTCAGGGCCTCAAGCGAAATGAATCATCACGTGCCATGTGACGTGATCTGAAGCTGGTTGTTACACTCTCGATTTGTGCTGTCATCCCATGATTTCATGGATTCATGCTACATGCATGTAAGGACACGAGCGCAGTGCTCAAACATTCGCACGCCTCCTTTGAATTGTGAGTCTTCAGCTCACAATTCAACTAAAATTTCACTAAATGAAACCTAGCCTAGCTGCTGCACCCACTGAAAACAACAGGCATTATGTTTTGGGGGGGTTGCCTGTATTCCCCTTTCTTTCACGTTCATTCAGCTTTCTCTTGGAGTCACCATCAATTGTCTAACTGTCACGCCGTGGCCTTGGTATCTTTGTGCAAGTGCTGAAAGGAGAATTCTGTGCCGGGGCGTCATGCTCTCCAACCGGTTTGCAAATTCCTGGAGAATTGATTTTTTTGCTGCATCAATCCTCAAATTTCCAGCATTGAGATTGTCCATAATGATAAGGACCATCCTTTGCAGTTCACTGGCATCACGGAAATGCTCACGCCTCAAAGCATTGTTGATCTCCTCATGCAGGCTGTCAATCAGATGTGTCCATGGGCCTGCATGATCGTCTGCCACCATTGGCTCATCTGCTTCTTGGTCACTTTCTGATTCCAATTGCTCACCTTCTCTGTTCTGACATCTGTATCCGTCCAACTGAATAGCCACGGACGGTTCTGCTGCCTGATTGTCTGCAGATACCGTTGCTGATGACATTTGCTGCCACAAGATTCCCACGTTCCTTTGTGTACATGTGACGTCTCTGTTCGGGATTCAGCTCTGTCATTCTAACGTAGCCACCCATTTCCACCACAGCATAGTGAATGGCATCAGTGCCATCTGAAACCATACCTTGCGCCTCTTCCAGTTCAGTCATACTTTGTCTCATGTTGGCTGTTTCAGTCTGCAGTCTGTTTTTTTCCACTCGAATCTCTCCAGCGTAGCTATCAAGCTGTGCAACCTGAAGGCACAACTGCTCATGACTCTCCCAGGTGCTCTGGAGCCATTTGAAAGACGCTAGAGCAACATCGACCAAATCACAGCTGCAAGCATGAAAAACATGAACATCCAAAACGCAAGTTGGCCATGTTCACCATCTGTGGAAAACGTATCGGGCTCTTTCAAACTGCATTGATCTCCACCTTCCAAGTTGACTGCTGCGCTTGGCACTGGCCCAAGGCCCATCAATACAAGCACACGCGCTATGCTTTTGGCCAACACAGCAATTTCCTTTCCACCTCCATGTCTTGCTGATTGCTGTTCATATTCCATCTGTCCAACCACATACTGTCCATCATGCGTGGAAACACCAAGCTCATGCAAAACCAGTTTCAACCTCTTTGCGCTCAAAGGTTTTGTTCCAATGTCACTCAGATTCCACAAGGTTGGAATTTGCACTAACATCACTTGTTTGTTCAACACTACATCTTGTACCCACAGCAACTTGCCTGAAACATGCTTGACCTTGCCAACGCCTTGTCGTGTTGCAAGCTGCCTAGCAGAAGAGCTTTCTGTGCACAAGTAATGCTCCAACGTTGCACCTGTCAGAAACTCCAGGCATCTACGCAAGAAAATGCCATCACACAGTGTACTGACCATCGCATGCAACTCACTCTCAGAAGAACTGAGAGACACTACCTTTTACGTCCTGAAGATCCATACACAAGTGCACCACACACCAAGTGAACTCCACAACTTGTTGAACGACGATGCCGTTGCTTTGAAGACCAGTCAGCGTCTGTGAAGCTTTCAAGCACCCAAAACTTATCTGTTGATCGCCATTTGCCCTATCCTGGAATAGACTAGACATTTCCAGAACTACGCAGTAGTCTGATGTGCTTTTGAGGTAGTCCATCAGTTTTCTTCAACTTCTGCAATGCTCCATTGGTTGGTTTGCTCATGTAGCCGCTGAGCTCTTTGACTGGGAACAAAAGGTCTGGCCTGTCCCTGGCCAAGTACAGGCAAACACCAACAACTGACCTGTAGGCAAACACATCTTTGGGTGACAGAACATCTGTAAGATCTTCTGTTTGCATTGACTGATCACACGGCACCATCTGAGCTCGGATCTTGCCAAAGTAGTCCTCATGGGACTTCACCACCTTCTCAGCGCTTGTTCCAGGGGTGAGTGCAAGGCCTTTCTCTGTTCTCAAAACCTTTCGTTTCAAGAAGGAAATTGAGGATCCCTCATCACCCAATTTTTTTTCCTCGGGATTTGGCCGGAATGCACTGTGGCACGGTCCTTGCATGTGCACAGAAGCTGTACAAAATGAATTAGAACGTGGGGTACTTGCAGTCAGATTTCCTGATCAAAAAGTATCGGTTGGCTAAAGATCACGAGAGGCACCAGTCACCAGCATCGAAGCCGAGAAAATGCAGATCCCCCCAGCCAGATGCGTATTCTCGCTCCGCTAGAGGCAACAACAAACAAAGGGGCCAGGGCCCAAAGCAAAAAGACCAGAAAAAAGCCAACCGACTATCCTTCACACGTGCAGCAATGGCGGAAGATCCACTAGCTACCTAAGCAGCGCAGGCCAACGAAAGACCTATCCCGATTCTAGAAGAATCAACTAATTAGGGGCTCAAACTAATTAAAGGGACCTAGCTTGGTCACATTGACAACGGCTTTTGGGTAGTGTCAGACCACACACAAAAAAAACACATGGAGTTACTCGTTAGAGTCCGCTCAGAAGTGCTTGGGCAGCCTGAAGAAAGGAGTAGAGCTCCACAAAGGATGCATTCGCCGCATGGCATGCTCATAAGCTGTGTTGCAAAAAGGTCACCAGCGACATCAGCCCGCTGGCCAATGATAGGGCCTTCCCAGGGGCCCACCCTCACAGCGAAACCGCACCTGTCAATCTCTACCAATCCATGGACTGAGCAGATACCGTTCTCCGCACAGTGAGGCAAAAGGGGCTTGTGGCCAAGCAGCACATGATATCCTCGTGACGGCCAGCTAGCTTCTTCGCGCTTGTCAGGTGAACCGTAGGTTTGAATTCAGCGGCAACGTCAGCAAAACTGTGGAAAGTGTTGAGCATGTTCGAATTCAGTGTATTTCGTTTTGCAACAATGGAGACTTCGGCGTTCAACCAAAAATATGGCCTGGTCCAGGTGCAAAATCATCACCACATGCAGTAATCTCCAGAGAGACCATCAGGTCGAGTCAAGGCAGCGCGACACGTGGTGTAGAGGGGCAAACCCCACACAGGGTCGAGACCTTTAGTGCCAAGCACCACAACAGCCACGAGCAACCTTCCAGTCGTCTCTGACAGCCACCTGGCAAAGCTCACCACAGTCCATACACAGATCCTCTGGCACTAGAGATTGATCAGCTTTCGCCCCAGCAGCGTGACCAGTGCGAGAGCGATCCATGGGCGCAACCTTTGTTGCTGCACAGACGCACTGGGGGATACAACAGTAGAAGTCCTGGAGACACAAACTTTGTTGATGCTGCAAGGAAGCAGCACCACTGGATCACTCCAGAAGATGGCGATGGGCCGAGGCTACTGGGAGGATGCGAGAGCGTTCAACCCAAAGTATGATCCCAAGAACCAACACCTGTAACTCTGACAGTTTCAAGCCCCTTTTTGCGCGACGACAACACACACAAAGCAAAGCATCAGTTCATGTAGCTGTACTGTGATCTATCTCTTGTTTGACTCACACTCCTTGAGAGCGAAATCGGCAAAGGAAACTCGATTTCAGGTCTAAAAAAATCCTGAGGTAAATCAAAACCTACATGCCGACAAAAGTTTCCGTGGACAAAAGTCACAAAACAAGTGACGTCCAAACTGTTTGGTTTCAGGTTCACAAATCCCTAGATCCACAAACCCTCAAACTAATTAGTCCATCAAGATAGGTCATTAAAACCCCTATAGGTAGGT